GGTCATACCCACTCAGGCACTCCTTTCTCTCTCTATCTCTGTCTCTCTCCTTCCCATTTGCTACCTCTCCTCATCCAGTCTCAAAGGTCAGGAGTGGCAAGAGGGAGAATGGGATGTCTTATCTATTAGGAAGCAGCCCTAAAATCTTTACTTATCTCCTACCAAAGAATGCCACGTGCCTCATTTCCCCTACCTCTTTTGCCACAATTAGAAAAAACAAAACAAAACAAAACAAAACAAAAAACACCAACAAAACTGGTCTTAAATGGTTTGTCTTGGCTGGTGCCGCGGCTCAATAGGCTAATCCTCCACCTAGCGGCATTGGCACACCAGGTTCTAGTCCTGGTCGGGGTGCCGGATTCTGTCCCGGTTGTTCCTTTTCCAGGCCATCTCTCTGCTGTGGCCCGGGAGTGCAGTGGAGGATGGCCCAAGTGCTTGGGCCCTGTACCCCATGGGAGACCAGGAGAAGCACCTGGCTCCTGCCTTCAGATAAGCGCGGTGCGCCGGCCATGGCGGCCATTGGAGGGTGAACCAATGGCAAAAGGAAGACTTTTCTGTCTCTCTCTCTCTCTATCCACTCTGCCTGTCAAAAAAAAAAAAAAAAAAAAAAAAAAAAGGTTTGTCTTAAACTACTGTTTTTTTTATCACTCACTAGACCCCCTTGAGGGTCTTATTTTCCAACTACCTCTTAAGACTTTTCTAGATGAGCAAAGAGAAACCTGCTGATCTCTTAGATCCAGAGGCTTTACATTTTCTTGCTTGCTAAATTATGAAAGTTCCTTTACCCACCTATTTCAGATACCTCTGCTCTATGACTGGGGCCGCTATGTGCCTTGTTAAACTCAGAGCTCCCCAGTCAGCACTGCCCCTTGCTTTATAGGTCCTGAGACCTAAAAAGATGAAGGTCTGTGAAACCCTGTGCTTTTTTTCTTTTCTTTTCTTTTCTTTTCTTTTCTTTTCTTTCTTTTTTTTTTTTTTTTTTTTTTTTTTTTTTTTTTTGACAGGCAGAGTTAGACAGTGAGAGAGAGAGAGACAGATAGAAAGGTCTTCCTTTCCATTGGTTAACCCCCCAAATGGCCACTACGGCCGGCACGCTGTGGCCAGCGCTGCACCGATCCAAAGCCTGGAGCCAAGTGCTTCCTCCTGGTCTCCCATGCGGGTGCAGGGCCCAAGCACTTGGGTCATCCTCCACTGCCTTCCTGGGTCACAGCAGAGAGCTGGGCTGGAAGAGGAGCAACTGGGACAGAATCCGGTGCCCCAAACGGGACTAGAACCTGAGGTGCCGGTGCCGCAGGTGGAGGATTAGCCAAGTGAGCCGCGGCGCTGGCCCCACTATGCTTTCTAACATGCTATAAACTGCTAAGTTGGTATTGTAATCATGACTGTTTTAACTCTTTTGCCATCCACAGTGATTCTCTAAAAATATTTGTAGTTAGATTAACAACATAAACGTTGTTGATACTATGCTTGAATGGTTTGTAAGATTTCCCCAAGATTTCTAGGGCTTATAACACTTTGGTAGACTGTGTTATATACCTGTTTCTACTCAATTTCTCCAAAATTAAAAAACTGCTTTATATGTTGATATCATACACCAATCTTTTTAATCAAAGTTACTCTGTGTTTTCTTTTTTTATTTTTTATTTGACAGGTAGAGTTATAGACAGTGAGAGAAAGAGAGAAAGGTCCTCCCTCCGCCAGTTCACTCCTGCAATGGCTGCTGCGACTGGCACTGCGCTGATCCGAAGCTAGGAGCTGGGTGCTCCCCCCCACCCCAGTCTCCCATGTGGGTGCAGGGACCCAAGAACCTGGCCTATCCTCCGCTGCCCTCCCTGGCCACAGCAGAGAGCTGGACTGGAAGAAGAGCAACCGGGACTAGTACCTGGCACCCCAACCAGGACTAGAACCTGGGGTGCCGGCACCGCAGGCGGAGGATTAGTCAAGTGAGCCACAGCGCCGGCCACTCTGTGTTTTTATAACTGACCTAGGTAACAAACTTTTTTTGTGTCTTGGGGAAGGTTTCTCATGTTTTCTGTTTTCGTTATTGGGTTCCAATTACCTGAGTAACTGAGTCTTAAAGGAGTTAACATTATCTGCCTATTTAACTGTTGGAGAGATCACTTTAACTCTGATTAGATCTGACGCTCAGCTTTGTTTAAAACACTCAGATTACATGAATTATTACCATTGTTTTGATCAAATGATTTACACCTCTGACAACAGAAGGACACCCAACTTATGTTGTGCTTATATAAAGATCTGATGTTTTGCACTCTAGGGTCAAAGGGACATGATTCCAGAAGCAGATACTTGCTCACTGCTTTATACCAGACACAGCTTGTCCTGCATGTTACATTGGTTGTGTGATGTGGGCGGTAGTGGGGATAAGCGCTCTCTCTCATGTCCATTGTTTGACTGCAGCTGAATTGGCACTAGGATAGGGATCTGGCTGCCCTCCCTGACTGCACTTCCACCCTTGCTCACCACACTCCCCTGGCTAGTGTTTCAGAGCAGGGTCTGTCCATGTAGACCTACGAGAAGTCTCTACCCCTGGGCAGCACATCCACATCAGGAGCGCAGAGTTACCCAGCAGCCATGTGAGAGGTGCACACATATCTTTCTGGCTGCACAGCCTTGGTCTGAAGAAAGAAAAGAAAAGAAAAGAAAAGAAAAGAAAAGAAAAGAAAAAAGAAAAGAAAAGAAAAGAAAAGGAAAGGAAAGGAAAGGAAAGGAAAGGAAAGGAAAGGAAAGGAAAGGAAAGGAAAGGAAAGGAAAGGAAAGAGAGAGAGAGAGAGAAAGAGAAAGAAAGAGAGAAAGAGAGAAAGAGAGAAAGAAAGGTAAATGGGCACTTTTGTTCTGCAAAGCCATCAGCTGCTTTCCCTTGGTTAGAGTCAGCCCTCAGCCCCACCATAAAAGTAACAGGAAAGTAGTCCCTATAGGAAATAGCAGACTGCCGCCTTCAGTATACCAATCCCCTTCACAATGCAAGACCTAAATCAGATAAAAGGAGAGATGGGAAACTTCAGATAAATAAACAGTTAGACTGATGGTATAAGGTGACTGACATGTTTGATTTTTACCTGAAAGGACACTGTTCGCCTCATGGACACTGTCTCAACTCAGAGAAAAAGAAAATGTCAAAACATGCCCATGACTATGAATTTCTAGCTTAGGTTTCCTCTGATACTAAATGCTGCTTTACATGATGATCTGCCATCAAGGAGACCCAACAAGTCCATTCTAACCCCAAATAACACCTGTTTTAGATGCATAAAGTCAGGGCATCTGGCAATCAAAATCCTGACAAAAGCTGGCTTCCAAAGAATCCTTGCCCACTCTGCCAAAAACCTGATCTGAGGGGATGGCCTAGGGTCTTTGTTGCCATTGCATGTAGAACTGTAATAGAGATACCACTCTTTACTCACCTCCTATCAAGGCCAGGCCTCCTCTCAGTTCATCAAGATGAGAGCCAGTGGGGGTGCCTTCCTTAGGGAGATTCCCATCCTCATTATAATTCACAGGGGACCTTTTCCTTTGTGGGACCAACACTTATCTCTGTCTCCTCACTAACTGGACTCTTGTGTTTCTGACCACCACACCCACACACACACCCCATCCATTTTTTTTTTTAAGATTTTATTTATTTATTTGAGAGGTAGAGTTACAGAGAGTGAGAGGGAGAGACAAAGAGAAAGGTCCTCCTTCTGCTGGCTTACTCCCTAGATGGCCGCAACAGCTGGCGCCATCTTCTACTGCTTTCCTGGGTCATAGCAGAGAGCTGGACAGGAAGAGGGGCAGCCGGGACTAGAACCGGCTCCCACATGGAATGCTGGCGCCTCAGGCGGAGGATTAACCCACTGCACCATGGCGCCTGCCCCCACTCCACCCAATGTTAACGTGGCACCCAATAACCAGTCTCCACCAATTTCTCTAACCACAAATATTCACAGTGAAAGAGCTGTCACCCTAATAACTGTCCTAGCCACCTTAGGAATTGCCGCTGAGTGGTCATAGGCGTAGGATTTGTTAGGATTTGCTAGGCCTTGGGGGCAAAATAGTTCATTTCAAAACTGACAGAACTGGGTGCAAGTAGATACCCATAGACATTGGTGTTATTTCACAACTCGGTATTCCACTGGCCCAGTACCAACTTTTATGAGTGCCTCTCCTGGGACATACCAAACTGACAGAACCATATCTTATAAATCATTTTTGGCTTCAATTAACAACTGCCAACAAGACTTTCTGCACAATCAGGCCTACCTTATCATGAATGATACTGTACTCTGCACATCCATGTGAACTTCCTCTAACAAGTAGAATAAAAAGGGGCTACTGCCTGCTGTGTGGCAGGCTGACGTCTCACCTCAGATCCCTCACCCACTGAAAACTTATTTCCCCTTACCATGCTGTCCTATCTACAAGAAAAGTCTTTTCTCTCTTGACCAGTTGTCTGTATGCATTGCTTGGAAACTAAAAATCCTAAACTAACAAGTTCTATCTCCAAAATTATGTTCTCAATCACCTTGCTGTGGCTGCTTCCTTGAAAATCTCTGGCCTGGGCAAGGGGGACTTTGGCCTGTGGTTAAGATCTGACAGGAGAAAACGATATTTCTTGGTTGTCTTTGCCATGAACTTATTGTATTTATTGATTGAATTTTTCCCTTTCTCTGTCCTCATCTCTTTTATTCTCTATTTCTAAGCTAGATGGTTTTATCTACCTCAGAGGGTGGGGGAAGTCGAACTTCTATATGGTTTCCTGCTGACTCCTACTAGGGTAGCATAAGTCACTGTCATTTTTCATTTACCAGGAAGATAAATCATATCTCTCCCAACCCCACATTTATTGTCAATAATACTGGATTTCTCTAGGACACAAAACTCTTTCCAGTCCCATTATCCAGACTTGGGACAGCAAAGCCAACTCTCTTGGGCTCCAATCTGCATGTACTAAAAGCCAATTGGTTTTATGTGTTTACAGCAATGGGTTGAGGACATACCTTACTGGCTGCCATAGCAAAGTACTTGAAGGCAGTAGCATTATTTTGTGGTGCAGCAGCATTCCCTTCTAAATACATCTAGGAAAAAAGGAAAAGAGGATGTAACAAACAGGAATTGGAACGTGATAAAAATGAATTTTTATAAAAGATTTATTTATTTGAAAAGCAGAGTTACAGAGAAAGAAGGAGAGGCAGAGAAAGAGAGAATCTTTTATCCACTAGTTCACTCCCCCAAATGTCTGCAATGGCCAGGGTTGGGCCAGATCAAAGCCAGGCACCTGGAACTCTATCCAAGTCTCCCTTGTAGGTAGCAGGGGCCCAAACACTAATGCCATCTTCTGCTGCTTTCCCAAGTGCATCAGCAGGGAGCTGGATCAGAAGTGGAGCAGCTGGGACCTGAACTAGTGCTAAAATGGAATGCCAGCTTCACAGGTGGTGACTTACCTTGCTGTGCCACCAATCTGGCCCTGAAAATGTTTTAAAACTACATGGAAGTAATGGTTGCATACATTATGAATGTACTAAATGCCATTGAATTTTACACTTGAAAATGGTTAATTTTGCTATTTGAATTTCACTTTAATTAAAACGAAAGCAGAAACTAATCTGCTATATACATTCTGAGTGACCTTGCCTAAGGGCCAAAACATGAATCTTATTTGTATTTTCTCCTGTTCTTTCATCTAGATTTTCTTTATATAGCACTTCCGGAAGCAAGGCACTCATCCCCATGGTTACTAATGCAAATTGGCAGAAGGGAGCCAAGTTGGTACTGAGTGGTCTTTAAGAGAGATTCAACATGTCTTTCTAAAAGAACCGTACACAAAGGCTGCCTAACCACCCTAGGGAACCTCTCATCAGAAGTGACAAAGAACAGACTTTGGTCAGCTTAAAGTTGGTTCTCATTCAAGGGGAGGAGGAGATAGGCATTTGGGTCAAGGCCTACTGTGGGTGATCCTGTATCTGGCTGGGAGGCTGCCCATGCAGGTTAGCCTGACTACTGGCAGGATGCGGGAGCCCTAGACACATTTCCCCCACCCCCCGCCAATCAGGTAAACTGCTCCCAGATGTGGCCCAGGCCCACCTGGAAAGCTACCCTAGCTAAGTGACCTTCAAGCTGATTGGAGAAGCATAGCGGCACCAATATCAACTTCATCCTACAGAATTAGTATTGCCCTGAATGAGTTATGTCCCCTCTGCCTGCCCTTTAAAAGATGTGCTTGGTTGTTAATAAAGCGGATATGTTCACTGAAACTTGTCTCCAGTGCTTCTTGTTGAAGAGTGCTGTCGCCCTACCATGCCTCGCGGGTCGAATCTGTAGCCTATATCAATTTTCAACGTATTACTAGCCTGAATCTCCTACTACCATTTGGGGTAGGGAAGGAAAGGAGCTCACAGGCTCATAGCTACACTCAGCAGAGGAGTCCTGGGCCACTTTCATGGCTGCTTTTGGTGCTCCACCTAGAAGCTGCTGTTGTATGGGATGTCCCAAACTATCATTTCAAGAATACCACCCTCAGGCTGCAGCCAAATGCTCCCTGAGCTGCTTCCATGAACAGGGCCTGCAGTCCTGTCACCACACATTGGATTCCATTAACTAGCATCACTAATTTCTTAGGTTTTTAATCTATGAAAAATATTGATCAAGGTGAAGCATGTACCTTTCCGATGAATGCCATGGCATTGGCACTCCCAGCCTTTGCTGCCTTTAAGAAATAGTATAATGCTTTCTAGAGAGAAAAGGAACAGTATTATTGCCAGTCACAAACAAATCCTCAAAATGGTTCTTTGAACCAAATTTTATCATGCAGTAAGTATTCCAAAATATCTACAAAATGTTCATGGAAAAAAAGTAATTGAAAGATAAATTTAGCGGTGGGGCACAGGGCTGTGGTGTAGTAGATAAAACCACTGTCAGCAGTGCTGGCTTCCCATATGGGCAGTGGTTTGATTTCCAACTACTCCACTTCCAATCCAGCTCTCTGCTGTGGCCTGGGAAAGCAGTGGAAGACGGCCCAAGTGCTTGGGCCCCTGCACCTGCATGGAAGACCAGGAGGAAGCTCCAGGCCTCTGACTTAGGACAGGGGCAGGTCTGGCTGTTGGGGCCATCTGGGGAGTGAAGCAAAGGATGGAAGACTTTCTCTCTCTCTCTTCCTCTCCCCCCACCCCCATCTCTTATTCTCTCTGCCTTTCAAATAAATAAATAAATCTTGGTGTGAAATTTTTTGAAAACCATGCATACTTTTTTCATAATATAAAATTTCCATGCAATTTTGGAAGACCCTTTATGTGTGTGTATGTGTGTGTGACACATATATAACTTTAGAATATTAAGACTTGTTTCTCACATTTGAAAAGACATGAATGGCATGTGGATTTATGGAATGAGATGAATCCTAGTATAAAGCTAAATAATAATTATTTTGAAAAAGTAGGTGTCGCTCCTCCTCTTCGTGGAGGAACGACACTAAACCCTGCCTAGGCTTCCTATCCGAGTCACAGCACCATTATGTCGCTCCCCGTCTTCGTGGAGGAACGACACAGGACCCTGCGCTGTTCTTTCGTCTGCTCGGCCCTTCCCGGGTTTGCTGCTGGTTCTTCCCGGGTTGGCTACCGTCCCTTCCACCTCTGTGGAAGGACGGTTCCCCCTGCCACATTCCCCACTTCCGCGGGGGAGCGGCACACCGCCGGCCGGCTCTCTCGGGGGCTGCACAGGTGCTCCTTCAGATAGATGTTCCCCCTAGATGTTCCTCGTGCATGTTGTCTCTCTCCTCCTTTATAGTCCTCCTCCGCCAATCCCAACTCGGCTGCCCACACGCCGAGTACGCTGCTCTCCTCCAATCAGGAGCAGGATTAGCTCCTGGAGGTCATCACTCAAGTTGGCAAGAGGCAGCTGCGTAGAAGCTGTTTTCTCCTCTCCCAGCGCCATATTGTGGGAGAGCAGATGCATAGAACAAGTCTTAATTCCAGTAACTTAGTCTAGTCCGAGTTGCTCCCCACAGTAGGCTTCTATGTTGACACTCTGCAAGACAGTTTGTAATAGAGTTGCCAGAATTGGTTATGTGGCATCTTAAGGTTTATAAGACAGGGTAAGATCAGACATGCTCAGCTGCCTGCTGAGACTAGGTCTTTCTGCACAGGTGAACTTCAAGATTATTCTAAATTAAATTGCAGGAGACTGGCAAAGCCTCTGACTTTGCCTAGGTCATAACATTAAATGAAGTGCTCAGTCTAGAACACTCATAAGGGCTGCTTTTGTTTTTTGCTGCCATATTCCCTAGGCCTTGGGCTGGTCTTCCAGAAAGTCTCCTCAGAAACCACATGGCATAATAAAATAAAACAATTAGGACATAACTCCTGCTCTTTAAAAAGTGCTCACTAGGATGATGTGTATATTGCATATCAGGTTAAGGACTTTTTTGATATGTGTGGAAAATAGAGGTCATTGGATATTTATGAGTATTAGGGAAGCTAAAATGTCTGGAAAAATGTAAGTGTACCTTGATAGGAGAGAGTTGTAGCGATGTGTTATTTACCAAATTAAAGTACATTAATATAAAAAATAAAAGTATTTATTATGACTATCTCTACTGAGCCATGACAGCAAATATGTCTCTAGGTAACTATAATTTATGCAAGTAACATTATCTCCTGGCCTTGGTTTGCTCATTCAGAGTCCTCCCCTCTGTGCTCTCAGGGCACTCTGTCCTGTCCCTTTCTAGGCATTTATCCACTGATTTAATTATCTACATATGTAGTCTCCTCTAATGTTGAATCCTCTGTAGTTAACATAGTGTCTGCCATGATTAGAGACTCAGGAAATATTCCATGAGAATGAATGAATGACTGTTTATACATCTCTAGCATAAGGGGGGTTGGACTTTAATATCTATGGGCCTTTCAGCTCTAGTATTATGATTCTATGAAATCATTTTCAAAATCCAGCTTAGTAATTTAGTACTCAAATATCCTGCAATAGGGGGCTGGTGCCTTGGCTCACTAGGTTAATCCCCTACCTGTGGCACCGGCTTCCCATATGGGCGCCTGGTTCTAGTCCCGGTTGCTCCTCTTCTAGTCCAGCTCTCTGCTGTGACCCGGGAAAGCAGTGGAGGATGGCCCAAGTGCTTGGGCCCTGCACCCGCATGGAAGACCAGGAGGAAGCACCTGGCTCCTGGCTTCAGATCGGCACAGCGCGCTGGCCGTAGTGGCCATTTGGGGGTGAACCAATGGAAGGAAGACCTTTCTCTCTGTCTCTCTCACTAACTCTGCCTGTCAAAAAATAAATCTCTTGCTCGCTCTCTCTCTCTCTGCCTCTGTGTAACTCTGCCTTTCAAATAAATAAATAAAATTATCTATTCCCCAGATGCAAATAAAACTTCTGGAGTTTCCCTCATCATTCAATATAATGATTCCATAAAGATAAAAAAGAAGTGAGGCTCTCTGTTACACATCACTCCAATGTCATGGCTTTCTTGGTATTTCAATTCTCTTTTCTTTCTTTTTACATTTGCATTTCCTTAATGCTATTTCTCAATTATAAAAACATTTTTAAAACACAATTTGAAAGTATTGTGTAAGCGCCGGTGCCGCAGCTCACTAGGCTAATCCTCCGTCTTGCGGCGCCGGCACAACGGGTTCTAGTCCCGGTCGGGGCGCCGGATTCTGTCCCGGTTGCTCCTCTTCCAGGCCAGCTCTCTACTGTGGCCCGGGAGTGCAGTGGAGGATGGCCCAGGTACTTGGACCCTGCACCCCATGGGAGACCAGGATAAGTACCTGGCTCCTGCCATTGGATCAGTGTGGTGCGCCGGCCGCGGCGGCCATTGGAGGGTGAACCAACAGCAAAGGAAGACCTTTCTCTCTGTCTCTCTCTCTCACTGTCCACTCTGCCTGTCAAAAAAAAAAAAAAAAAGTATTGTGTAAGCTAATTTGATGGATATGCATGAATCAATCTGGGGTCTTTCAATTAGTTAAGATCAAGCATCCATCCATCCATCCACCAATCCTTCAAATATTTACTGATCAGCTACCATCAATGATTCTAAGATGTGCATCTTACCCAATCCCATTTTAATCAGAACATTTCTTATTGTCACTGGCATATTATAAATTATATTGGCATTTTTTCTTTCTCAGTAGAACATAAAATAATGGTATGTTTTACAATTGATGGTGCCTTAGGATGAAATATGATTTGTCTCAGACATTATGCTAAGTGAAGTTTTTATTATTTGAATCCACATCTTTATTTTAATGAGTATGATTTTTTATTGGCTCTAAGCAAATCCTTAATCAGCTTGTAACATTTCCCATAGAATGAAATGCCAAGAAAAATATACTGTTCTAAAAATATTTATGAACACTTTTTTTTTAAATCCCAGGCTCTGTAAATCATCGTGAAGAGGGAAGCTATTAGCTCTTTTCTTTTTAATGGGTGGCAGGATAAATAAAGCAGTTACTCTCACTTATTTGATATTATTCATCTGCCAGGTTAAATTTAATTATGCTTTATCCACTTTACTAATATGCACCCAAACACTCTGCTTTCATAATCCAATCGGTTCTGAGCTTGTATATATTTAGAAATGCAAATGACATTAAAATTTATGTGTAGAAAATTCAAGATAATGCAATCAAGAAACGCATATACAATACTTTTTTTTTTTTTAATTTTTGACAGGCAGAGTTAGTGAGAGAGAGAGAGAGAGAGAAAGGTCTTCCTTTTCTGTTGGTTCACCCCCCAAATGGCCACTACGGCCAGTGCGCTGTGCCGATCCGAAGCCAGGAGCCAGATGCTTCCTCCTGGTCTTCCATGCGGGTGCAGGGCCCAAGCACTTGGGCCATCCTCCACTGCTTTCCCAGGCCACAGCAGAGAGCTGGACTGGGAGAGGAGCAACCGGGACAGAACCGGCGCCCCAACCGGGACTAGAACCAAGAGTGTGGGTCCCGCAGGCAGAGGATTAGCCTAGTGAGCCGTGTCGCCAGCCAACACTTTTCAATAATTAAGAATTTGGCTAGCGTGAGGGCAAAACTGTTGTTTGATAAGGGCCAGCGCCATGGCACAGTGTGTTAACACCTTGGCCTAAAGCCCCGGCATCACATATAGGCGCTGGTTCGAGACGCGGCTGTTCCACTTCCGATGCAGCTCTCTGCTATGGCCTGGGAAAGCAGTAGAAGATGGCCCCAGTCCTTGGGCCCCTGCACCCGCGTGGGAGACCCGGAAGACACTTCTGGATCCTGGCTTTGGATCGGCGCAGCTCTGGCTGTTGTGACCAATTGGGGAGTGAACCAGCCGATGAAAGTCTTCTCTCCCTCTCTCTCTCTCTCTTTGCCTCTCCTCTCTCTGTGTAACTCTTTCAAACAAATAAATAAATCTTAAAAAAAAAAAAAAAGATAACACATGATAGACTTATTCAACCTAATAGTAAGGAAGGAGAGGAGGAGGCAAGATAGTTATTTTTGATATTTATATATATTTTAAAATATTTATTTATTGGGGCCGGCACTGTGGTGTAGCAGGCTAAGCCTCCACCTGTGGTGCCAGCATCCCACATGGGTGCTAGTTTGTGTTCTGGCCTCTCCTCTTCCAAACCAGCTCTCTGCTATAGCCTGGAAAAGCAGTGGAAGATGGCCCAAGTGCTTGGGATCCTGCACCCTTGTAGGAAACCCAGAAGAAGCTCCTGGCTTCAGATCAGACCAGCTCTGGCTATTGTGGCCATCTGGGGAGTGAACCAGAGGATGGAAGACCTCTATCTCTCTATCTCTCCCTCTCTCTGTCTGTAACTCCACCTCTCAAATAAATAAAAATTTAAAAAAGAGGCTTATACTAATGTATTTCTTTAGTGGACTGAAAAATTAGCAGACAAGTTCAAGTGGTAGTTTGCAGGCTAAGGAGCAACATATGTTTAGGGCTAGCATTCATTTACTCATTTATTCATTGAACAAATACTGGTACCTCATGTTACCAGGCACTTTTTTTTGAGCTTGGCATTCCTAGTGAATGTCAGACAGACAAGAACTTATATTCTTGGTGGGGAGACAAAGATCAACAAAATCCAGGGAGTTATATGGGCCATGAGGAAAATAAACACAGTGTGATAGAGTAAGTGATGAAAGAGTAGAATTGATCAAGAAAATCCTCTCCAAGGAAGTGACAACTGAAGGAAGAGAAGCCAGACATCAGAAGAGCTGCAGTAATAACCTTTTAGAAATCGGGCTTATCCTTTTATTTTCCCTCTCCTCTACATGTTTCCCCTGCCACTTCAAGTTGATTCTGGTGCAACTAAACTATAGTGAGTTGCAAAAATGCCACCATACTTTGCAGCTCTGTCCACTGAGAAGCGCCCACTCTCTCTGTTTCTTCAGTCTTACTGGCCTTATTACTTGCTATGACCAAAGAAAGTGATTTATGAGTTCTGAGCTATGGAGTTAAGAGACTTCTGCTCTGTGTTCTTGAAACTGTCCACTGCCATGTTAAAGGCCTGGGTCAACTGCCTGTAATGTAAGACTACACGGAGAGAGGCCCAGTCATCCTAGTCATCACAGAAGAAGCCATGATAAACCAACCTGCACTGGTCAGCACTCCAGCACATGCATTTAAAGCCCAGCTAAGCTGAGTTGAGCCTGCCAGACCAGACTGGCTCAAGCTGAATCTAGCCAAAATTGTTAACCTAAATCTTGAATTAACTAAATGATTGTCATTTTAAGCCACCAATGTTTGGGAATGGCTTGTTGTGCAGACAAAGCTAACTGATGCCTAGTCACTCAGTCTGAGACTTTGACCACAGACCTCCACATGTGTCCGAAATCATTAGGTTGACATACACAGAAAGAATCAGCTTGTCCTTTCTCCACAGAAGGCCTGATAGACTGGGATGGTTCTGAAATTGAAATCTCCTTTTTAAATGGAAAGTAGGAGGCCCACCCAGAAAGTTAGACCTGAAGGAATCTGAGAGTCATGGCATCCTTTATTTAAACATATTTTTAAAGGCCCCTATTTTTTTCCAAGTCGAGAAGAAATAATGTTTAATTAAAAGGGCCCAGGTTTTGAATGCTAAGGGTCTGAGTTCAACTTCTTCTTAAACAACCTTACTTCTCAGCTGTGAACCTTGAAGCAATTTACTTTTTGACTCTAGCCTCAGCTCCTCCTCTGTAAAAAAGCAAACCAAATAACACCTCTACGAATGAGCTTGCTGGAATATCCTGAGTGGGCTGTTTGCTGATGATGCCCAGCTGCTGGCTGTTGTCACCGGATCACTGGGATGCCTCAGTGCCAGTCCTGGGATTGCTCTTCTTTCTCATCTGGAGGTAACTCCAGCTCCATTTGGTGTTCATGCTGGCCGGGGCTGATTAGAAGTATTTTGAGGGGTTTTATTACACTGTACAAGGATTCCTGTGTCTTCCCTACAAGCTAAGGTTTGGGTGCCTTTACATCCAAATTTCATGTTTATGGAAAATGAGGACCTCTTCCCAGCTATGTATCCTATGATTAATATGAGAAACTCATGGCAGTCGGAAATCCAACCCTGAAGTAATATTGTGAATCCTGTGCTTTCCATCAAAGAAGATATGCTCTTTGTTATGTTTAGAAACTAAAAAAAATAATCTGAAGACCTTCAATTGAATTGTGTTGGGATGCATATGCTGATTTAAATTGCTACCTATTTTATCACATTTTATGAAAATAACTTTGACATTTACTTGATGTTTATTGTATCTCATATAAACTACAAATTACCAAAGATACATTCATAAAATAATAATATAAAGTAAACTGGAAGGTAATAACAGATCACTTTTTAAATGTAACAGCCTTACAATGTAGTTATTTCCTTCACTGAGCTGCTGGGACTGTGTTGAAATAGGGTACATGTTCCTTTGAAACAATGAACACTTGTCTCCTATAAAATGGAAGAGCTGCAAACTCATCTTTTAAAAAGAATCCAGTTATTTCCCCAGTAGGTAGTTATTAGGGCCTTAAAACCACAATCAGAATCTAGATAAGAACCCACACCATGACTCTGGCATCTTACTGAGGAGGATACCATGTAGGACAAATTCATTTGCTTTTTTTTCTCCACTATAAATATGAATGGTTAATTAATCTTCTAATCTCACTGGGATAAGATAAGGTTAAACAAAATGATGTAGAGAAGCTTAGCAAATTTACAAAGATGTTTAATATGTTTTTTAATTACATTAAAGCAGGCTGTCCTCTGATTTAGCTAAACAGGCATGAGGTTGGTCTTCAGGCTCCTCAACACTTAACTCACAGGTGGACTTTCTTTTTATTTATTTATTTATTTATTTTTGACAGGCAGAGTGGACAGTGAGAGAGACAGAGACAGAGAGAAAGGTCTTCCTTTGCTGTTGGTTCACCCTCCAATGGCCGCCGCAGCCAGCGCGCTACGGCCGGCGCACCACGCTGATCCGAAGCCAGGAGCCAGGTGCTTCTCCTGGTCTCCCATGGGGTGCAGGGCCCAAGCACTTGGGCCATCCTCCACTGCACTCCCTGGCCACAGCAGAGAGCTGGCCTGGAAGAGGGGCAACCGGGACAGAATCCGGCGCCCCGACCGGGACTAGAACCCGGTGTGCCGGCGCCGCAAGGCGGAGGATTAGCCTAGTGAGCTGCGGCGCCGGCCACAGGTGGACTTTCTATTAGCTGGCCTATGTGGGAGGGCAATATTCAAGGCTTGCACTGAGTGTGAGGGTGGAAAATGGCTAGGTTCTGTTGGAGCATGGGTACTCCACCTGCCCCAAGTGCCTCTCCCTTTGCTCTTGAAGACAAGTAGGAATGTGCGCCTTGACATGAACTTTGTTCTTCCTCACCATCTGAGAAGCAGATTGGTCAAGGTTGCAGGGTTGGGCTTCCTCCTAAGCAATTTTCCCTCCTCTTCCACTTCTTCCATCTTTCCCACTCCCCACTTTCAGTGCCCCACCAGCCTCCCTCACCCCGATCCTCCCCACTCCATATGACTGAATCTTAAGATTGACTTACGTAGTAGTCCTGATCTAGACCTTTCCTCCCAATTAGATGTAATTGTCCAAGAGATACCTAGGAATGATGATTTTTGAGAATGATTTTAGCAGTAGTGTTAATTTAAATAAAGAAAACATGGTGATTTTACTGTGGGATGTTGATTCAGTTTGATAAAGTTGTCATGTCTTGAAAGAAGCAGGGAAACAATCCAGACTATATCTTTTAGTGGCTAATGGGATGCAGCTGGGCATATGTCTTCCTCAACAGCAGGAATCCAGTCAAGCTGGTATGCAGGAATGAACACTCAGGCACATAAACCTAAGGGGCCTTCACTCTGACTCTCAAAGGTCACGGGGATGATGCCCCATTCCTGAGAACAGCATATTAAAACCAGCATTTGATGGGCCATTTAGTCTATAATCAAAATTTAAGTTATTTTTAAAATGAATTTGTCAGTAAGAAATGCAAGGAATATTGTTATTACTATGGTAACTAGCTCTCCATTAGGACCAGGGACTGAAAGTGGCAGGGGACAAAACAGGAATAGTGCAAAGAAGAAAGGGTTTCTCTTCCCTTACCAGTTCAGAATGGGTCACTGCTAATCCCTCTAGGACTCAGAGTGAATCAAACATCTTATCATTTGCATGTTCTAAAAAGTCAATCTTATCTGTATACATTACTTGTATCTGAACATCTCCTCTTTCTGCCAAAAGTTTATAGTATTGGTATATGTCCCAATCCAAAATTTCACTGTTGGAACTCAAATTTTCAGGTCTCTCAGTTAGTCTCACTTTTTCCACTGGAATACCTTCATTTTTTTCCAATTTGTCAGCAACTGCAAATAGAAACAAGCCAGAGAATAGCTAGAAAGAACAGGCTGCAAGAGATTAACATTCAGTATAGAGAAAATGTTGTTAGGCTTATTCTCCTTAAATTGTGCAGAAATCTGGTCTATTAGCACAGAGGGATGACCCATAGGAAGTTAAATTTGCTGACTTTTATTTAGTTATGAGAAAAGTGTATGAAACCTAGTTATTCTTTGCAACCCACATAAATATTATTAACTTCTATGTATATAAGTCTCTACTCAATTATCTTGGCCAAGCAGGCTTAGATAAACAGGTGAGATTTTAGGAGCAGACAATTCATCCCCTCTACCACTGACTCTTTTCTGGGACTGAAACTACAAAGTAAAAGTAATAACAGCTTTTTTTTAAATTTCTTATGGATAATCTGAAGATAATACAAAAATGAGTATATGTTCAAATATATCTACTAGAGTGTACAGTTCAAAGTATAAACATAGTGATTCTAGTTTTCTTAAGCACATGAAATGATAGTGCATCTTGAATTCAAAAGTAAGGGCCAGCATTGTGGCATAGCAGGTTGAACAGCTGCCTGCAATGCCGACATGCTCACTTCTGGTCTAGCTCCCTGCTTATAAATCTGGGAAAGCAATGGAGGGTGGCCCAAGTGCTTGGGCCCCTGCAACTACATGGGAGATGCAGATGAGGCTCCTGGTCCTTGACTTCTGCCCGGCCAGGCACTGGCCATGTGGGCATTTGGGGAATGAAGCTGCTTATGTACCTTTCCCCCTCTCTCTCTGTAACTCTGCCTTTCAAATAGATAATATTTATCTTAAAAAAATCAAAAGTAGTCTTCTCTTTTTTCTTTCCTTAGAACTTAATGGTGACAAAAATATATGTTTAGATATTTTTATTTTTTAAAGATTTATTTATTTATTTGAAAGGCAGTTAGAAATAGGAAAAGCCAGAGATTCTCCATACTCTGTTTCACTCCCCAAATGGCCGCAATGGCTGGAGCTAGGCTGATCCAAAGCCAGGAGCCAGGAGCCTCTTCCAGGTCTCCCACGTGGGTGCAGGGGCCCAAGCACTTGGGCCATCTTTTGCTGCTTTCCCAGGCACATCAGCAGGGAGATGGATCAGAAGTGAAGCAGCTGGGACTCAAACCAACGCACACATGGGATGCTAGTGCCGCAGGAGTTGGTTTACCCACTGTGCCGCAGCACAGGCCCCTACATATTTTTCTGATTAACTAAGTGGACCTTACATTATTCACTTCTGAAAACCTTCTATTTAAAACATTGCTATGTAGTCTGTTTCAGGGATGCTGAAAGTTAAAATGTTATGCACAGCTTTGAATATGATTCTAGGAACATTTATTAGCCTCACATTCTATTTTCTGTAGACAAAGCATAGGATAATAGATAAATGATTAAATTGTTCTTAAGTGCAGAGATAGGTTTCTCATGTATGTGCTTAATATTTATCACCTTAAGAAGTTCTAATAAATCATCCTGTATTCCAAATGTTAGAGGCAGGAGGGGAACTGCTTAGTGTCTGCTGGCTGTATGTTCAGATTCTCAGTTTAAGTAAACAACATCACAAGAAAAGTAAAACAGAAACATTTGGGATATATATTGACAAAAATAAAAGATGAATGCAATGATTTAAAACATTTTTAAAAAATTGAACTTTTTGAAAAGTAACTATTAAGGAAACAGAAACTTTCCCTTGTAGTACAGTATTAAAACAATTTTACTTTAGTAGATGTTAAAAGGATAAATATTTTTATAAATTTATATTGATCAATGTTTATTTTTCTAAATTGTGTGCCAAATCTGTTTGTCTTATAATATGAGGATTACTCACTATAATCTGCCACTTTCTTGTAATGATTTAAGGCAACTTCACAATTCTGCAGAACATTGATTCCTGACAAATATCTGTACCCCTAAAACACAAGCATACATATTTTTAATGTGCAGGCAATGTTGTATTTATTATATACCTATTTTGGTCTTAGAATATTAAATTTACAAACCAAAATCATCTGAGACATCATGCTTCCACCAGCACTTCCAAAGGTATAATAGATGAGTGCCTAAAATTAAAAGAAAAAAAGAAACACATTGCTTATCTAAATTTGAAAATTAAACAAACATTGCTTTTTCACTCCTAGCCTGGGAATAAATCTGGAAGTACTCCAAAATACATGCCAAATATTGGTCTCTTCCTCTGTTAATGTGGCTGTCATTTTCTGGGAGTTAACCATGTTCTGGAGTTTGGGATAAGGACATCATATATAATATTTAACCATCAAAAAATCTCTATGAACAGATATTATTCACCTTTAGAGAAGAATCCACAATATGATTTTTAAAGAAACTTCTCTCAGAATAATACTTAATTTTTTTTTTTCGATCTGGTTATTTAATCACCACCCTAGAGTAAACCTGTTTACTTAAAGAGAAGACTCTATTCAATGTCATTTTAAAGAAATTGATTTTGTGCCAGAAGAAAAAATAGAATGATTTTACCTTGGCTTGATCATATTCCATTCCTATTCCATAAGAAGACAAAAACCCTAATGCCTAAAGTGCAAAAGAAACAATAAGGATCAATAAATCAATTTAGTTCAGAATTATTTTCATTTATATTGGTAAGGGACATTTTAAATGTCTGCTCCTTAATAATTTTCATTGTTAATTTATTTCTTATACTGTAACAAAATACTTTTGTGAAGGCTATAGGAATTTGGTAAAGATCAAAATAGTGGGAGAATCGCATAACACATGAAAATAGGACAATTCCTACTAAACTTTAGAATAAATAATAAAAAAATTATAAACGAATGATGTTTATGTGTTTTCCTTTCTTGAAAAAAGTTTTATCTTTCATTAATTTAAAAATTAAATTTGTTTTTTCCTGTTCATATCTTAAAAAATACAATGTAATTATATAGAATATTTAAACAGCAAGAAGTACAATGAATAAAAAGTGAAAGCCTGATTTCAAAGTAAGAGGTTCAATAGGAAACCCCAGATACATCTTCCACAGAAACACCACTTAACCACAGCATATGGTCCAAAAAGCCTTCATGAGAATATCAGAAACAAATTAAGAGGTCATAATACACAAGACTAATGCAAAGTCAAAAACAGTCCATTGAAGTAGGCAGTAGAAGCCATTTATTTTGCACATGGTCACCCATCTTCCAAGTTAGCACCTCTTGAATGTTAGTTGGAGGAAAAAAATTCCAAATGATGATTTCTACTAAGGGAGAGAAAGAAGCAGAATGTATGTCCAACGGAGAGTGTTACCTGGGTGACTGTGTGTGTGTGTGTGTGTGTGGTTTGATTCTGACACATGTGTGAGCACTGCAATAAACCAGCGTACTCTGGATGCCTGGTGCCTGCAGAGGACAGATGCCCGGTGGCTTATTACTGTACTAGAGATTCTGCAGTACTATAGACAGACTCCAGGGAGAGCAAAAGATGATAAACTCTTTTTTTTAGTTAAATAGGAAATTAGTTAAATAGGAAAGTGCATACATAAATAGTGCAGAATGAGTCAGTGGTTTGGAAGAAAATTCTAGTGAAAACAGTGGAGCATTCCCTTAAGAAATGCTGCAACAACAATATTCTTAATGGTACAGAAGATATCCTATTGGAAAAAATGTATCAACTATTCTAATTTGAACTCTGAGGAAATTTTAGGAACAATAACTAACAGCTTTAATTGCTTTGGTTTGAACACATTCCCTATATTAGTCCACTTTTTGTTTTTTAATTTGTTATTTACTTATTTCTTTGAAAGGCAGAGTTACAGAGAGAGAGGAGAGACACACATAGAAATATCTCCCATTCATTTGTTCACTCCCCAAATGGCTGCAATGGCCAGGGGTGGGCCAAGCTGAAGCCAGGAACTTGGAGCTTCATCCAGGTGTCCCATGTGGGTTCAGGGGCCAAAGCACTTGAGCTATTTTCTGGATCAGAAGTGGAGCAGCTGGGACTCAAACTGGCACCCATATGGAATGCTGGTGTCACAGGTGGTAGCTTAACCTGCTGTGCCAAAACGCCAGCCTCTACTTTTTGTTACTTTAACTAAAATACCCAAGAGGAGCATTCTGAGAAAGAAAGTTTTCTTTCAATTTACAGTTTAGGGATTATGATTCAGGATAGAGCAGCCCCATAGCCTGGTGTCTCACAGGAGCTAATCATGGTGGGTGCAGAGGAATGATCACATGGTGAAGGAAGCAGAGGTACAGAGAGAGAACCTAGGCCAAACTCAAATGCAAAATAACCTGCTCATGAGACCCACTCTTCTGAGAGTATGTCCCCAGCGACCTAATCACCTTTCACCAGCCCACCTCTTAGTCACCACAACAAGATTAAGTCTATATCCTTAATCCATCAGCCAGCAACATTAAGACATCAGAGTTTAAACATCTTGTCTGAATTTTCAGGAGGCAAGTCCTGCTATACCTATAACATCTCTCACAGTTTATGTTGGAAAGTTAATCCCCAAATTTAAATGTTGATGGTATTTAGAGGTATGGCATTTGGGAGGTAATTAAAGTTAAATAAAGCTGTCTGGGTGGGATTACTATGATGGTCCTGGCGGCCTTATAAGAAGAAAAGGAACCTAAACTGGCATATTCCCCCACTTTGTCATGTTATGACTCAGCAAAGAAGGCTCTTTCCAAATGTGGGACTCCCCAGCCTTGCTATTGGACTTCCCAGACCGCAGAATTGTAAGAAATAAATTTCTTTTCTTTATAAATTATCCAATCTGTGATATTTTGTTATAGCAGCAAAAAATGAACTAAGATACTGATATATTTAACTTATAATTACCTTTTTGTGTAACCAAAGATAGATATATAATAAAAATCTATGTTTAAAAAGCCCAAGGCAGCACTTTTATTTATTTATTTATTTTTTATTTTTTTAGAAAACTTTTATTTAATAAATATAAATTTCATTAGGTACAGCTTTTGGAATATAGTGGTTCTTCCCCCCATACCCACTCTCCCACCCCCACTCCTATTCCATCTCCTACTCCCTCTCCCATCCCTTTCTTCATCAAGATTCATTTTTAATTAGCTTTATATACAGAAGATCAACTCTATACTAAGTAAATATTTTAATGGCTTGCACCCACACAGATATACAAAGTATAAAGTACTGTTTGAAGACAAGTTTTATCCTTAATTCTCATAGTATAACTTATTAAGGACAGAGGTCCTACATGGGGAGCAAGTGCACAGTGATTCCTGTTGTCGATTCAACAATTGACACTCTTATTTATGATGTCAGTAATTAACAGAGGCTCATGCCATGAGCTGCCAAGGCTATGGAAGCCTCTTGAGTTCACCAACTCTGACCTTATTTAGACAAGGCCATAATCAAAGTGGAAGTTCTCTCCTCCCTTCAGAGAAAGGTACCTCATTCTTTGATGGTCCCTTCTTTCCACTGGGATCTCACTCACAGAGATCTTTCATGTAGGCCATTTTTTGCCACAGCGTCTTGGCTTTCCATGCCTGAAATGCTCTTATGGGCTTTTTAGCCAGACCTGAATGCCTTAAGGGCTGATTCTGAGGCCAGAGTGCTGTTTAGGGCGTTTGTCATTCTATGAGTCAAGGCAGCACTTTTAATAATACAAAGAAATTATAAAAAATTATCTTGTATTTTAATTGACAGCATTTATATAATTTATAACACACATTCTAAAAGTATACAAAATGGAGAAAATATAGGATTATCATATCTACCAAAATTTTCCATAATTCTGAGTCTTGCAACCTCCTTAAAATAGACCATGCTCAATGCAACTTGTTCTTAGTGACCTCATCTTTCTTGACAAAAGTATGCTGATTTATTTTTTGGGCCTTTCATAAACAAACATTTTAGAAACATGATTGGGAACTTTACCCACTAAAGTCACCAGACCTATGTGTTCTTTACAGAATTCGACAAACTCCAAGCCCTATGTCTCCTTTCTTGCCCTCAGTCACTGACAAGATGATAATGACATCATTTGTAAGTATTTAGAGATGGAATTGGATTCAGCGAAGAGATTTGAACTCATTGCAAACTGTTTGTTGCACTCTGCTCCAGATGCTTCTGAGAAAAGTGCATTTCAGGCTGGTATTGTGGCATAGCTGGTTAAGCCCTTGCCTACAACACAGGCATCCCATACCAGAGTGCTGGTTTGAATCCCAGCTGCTCATCTTCAGGTCCAGCCTTCTATTTGCCTGGGAAGACAGTAGAAAATGGCCCAAGTACTTGGGGCCCCTGCTACCCACAAGGGAGACCCGGATAGAGTTGAAGGTTCCTAGTCCAGCCCTAGCCATTGTAGTCATTTGGGGAGTGAATTAGTTGATGGAAGATCTCTCTCTCTCTCTGTCCGTCACTCTGCCTTTTAAATAAATAAAAATAAATCTTAAAAAGAAAAGCATTCTGGGGCTGGTGTTGTGGCATAGTGGGTAAAGCTACTGCCTGTGATGCTGGCATCCCATATGGGCACCTGTTTATGTCCTGGTTGCTCCACTTTTGATCCAGCTCTCTGTTAATGGCTTGTGAAAAACAGTGAAGGATGGCCCAAGTACTTGGGCCCCTGGCTCCCATGTGGGTGCCCTGGATGAAGCTTCTGGCTCCTGGCTTTGGCCTTGCTCAGCCCTGACTGTTGCAGACACTTGGGGAGTGAATCAGCAGATGGAGGACATTTCTCTTTCTATTTCTACCTCTCTCTATGTCACTTCACAGTGACAGATGGTGATTTAGGTAATTTATATCACTTTTTCTCCTCATTGCTGCTCTCCATAGAGTCAAAACACTATTTTTTTTTTTTTGGTCAGAAGATAATTGTAAAAGTTTTAGTGTTTCTATTCTTTTCTTTGTAAAAGATTTGTTTTAGTTATTTGAAAGACAGAGTTACAGAGAGAGGGAGAGAAAGAGAGAGAGGTCATCCATCTGCTGGCTCACTCCCCAGATGTCTGCAACAGGCGGAGCTGCGCTGATCCGAAACCAGGAGCCAGGAGCCTCCTCCGGGTTTCCTACATGGGTGCAAGGGCCCAAGGACTTGGGCCATCCTCCACTGCTATCCCAGGCCACAGCAGAGAGCTGGATTGGAAGAGGAGCAGCCAGGACTAGAATAGGAGCCCATATAGGATGCTGGCGCCTCAGGCTAGGGCGTTAACCTGATGCACCACAGTGCTGGCCCCATGTTTCTATTATTTTTAAGGCTCTACCAAATACAGCTTTATCACTCCTGTCACCATTCTTATGTATTCCATATTTTATGTATGATCCTCGGTAATATGCCTTTGTTTCTATCCTTCGTATTACCAACAGTATGGTTTTAGCTACTCAACTTATTAATTAATGAAATATTTGACAAGCACAGGAGTCATGGGCAGAATCTTGAGGAGTACTGTTAAGAGACCTGCTTTCGGCTGGCACCGTGGCTCAATAGGCTAATCCTCCACCTTGCGGTGCCGGCACACCGGGTTCTAGTCCCGGTCCGGACGCCAGATTCTGTCCCAGTTGCCCCTCTTCCAGGCCAGCTCTCTGCTATGGCCCAGGAGTGC